TAACCTCGTCTAGCTCGCCTACAACTCTCGAGATCTCGAGCTCACCGACTGGAGCTCACCCTCACCTGAGCTTTGTCCTCTCCTGGAGAAGCTCGCCTGTAGGTGAGTTTGGGCTACACACCCAGATCCAATAATCTCTCACTTGGAGATCAAACTGCCGTTAGCAGGCTATCCCAACAAGCACTTCCTCCTGTGTGGCTCCGCCCTCATAACCTATGGATGAAGGCCAACTGAAATTGCGCACAACTCCAGTTTCTGAAAGACTACTGTTTTTGTCAACATATCCGTTGGATTCTTACTTCCTTGGATATTCTGTTGAAATCTTTTAACAACTTGTCGGGCTTTGTATCTTCTGGAACCATCCTGTTCTTTTTTCACTCGATACACCCACTGGTTGTGATGTGCCTTCTTCCCCATGGGCAACTCAGCTAATTCCTATGTCTGGTTGGAGATCAGAGATTTTATCTCTTCTTTCATAGCAAACCCCCACTTGCTCGCATCTCCATTCTGACAAACTTCATCAAAACTTTCAGACTCCCCTCTATTTGTCAGCAACATATGATTCATGTATCTGCTGTTAGACACAGGAGGACGAGTAGTTCTCCTTAATATCAGAACTGGTGCGTCGGGTTTCTGCGCACCGTTCTGTCCAACAGGCTCTTCTGACTGAGGACCTTCTACATTAGTTTTTTCATAGAGGTTATCTAGGATATCATCTGCATCTACAAATATTAACTCACTCTCTGAGTCACTGGCCTCTGTCTTGTGCATGTCCTTGTACATCACATTCTCGTTGAATATCACATCTCTGCTCCTGATCACCTTCTTATTTTTATTGTCCCAAATACGATAGCCGAACTCATCTTCACCATACCCTATGAATGTGTATTTCTTGGACTTGGGATCAAGCTTATTCCTGTCTTGATCACTAATATGCACATAAACTACACAACCGAAAACTCTGAGATGTGAGAGGATTACCTCCTTTTCGCACCATACCTCTTCTGGTATTATGTGCTCCAATAAAACCGATGGACCTCGGTTGATCAAGTAACCTGCTATGTTGACTGCTTCTGTCCAGAACTGCTTCGGTAGACCTGACTGTATACGGATGCTTCTGGCTCTTCTATCAACGTTCTGTTCATCCGCTCAGCTATACCATTGTGCTGAGGCGTGCCGGACACGGTTCTCTTCATTCTGATCCCGTGCTCATAGCAGAACTTCTTAAATCTGGTATCTTCATACTCATCACCATAGTCTGTTCTGAGTTTTCATATTCTCAGACTGGTCTCATTCTCGACGATGGCTTTCCATCTCCTGAAACCTTCAAATATTTCTGACTTGTGCTTCAGAAAATAGACCCACACTTTCTGAGAGTGATCATCAATAAAAATCATGAAGCAGTGTTTCCCACCAATAGATACGGTGGTGATTGGTCCCTAAACATCTGAGTGAACGAGCTCTAGCTTCTTCCCGGGGGTTCTGTCACTTTTTTTTTTGGTAACGAGGGAACCCCGGTTAGCACTCCAGCGCCCCACTTTTGGGTCTGGCGGAGACCACAGGTCGAGTCCCCCCGATCCCCCCACAACTGCAAGGAGCTTCGTCCAAATATTAGGGGCTCATCCCCATGTGCCAGGACCAACGCGACCCACTTGCACAGGGCGAGCAGTGTGTGGACCAAGACGACCCAACCGGACCCCTATCTACCAGGCTGGGGTACTAACAAGGAAAAACCCCGGTCTCCACCCCACCCTTAGAGCGTGGACAACAGGTGAAGCGCTGACGGGAATCGAACTCGGGACTAGCATGGGCACGAGGCCCTAGGAGCCGAGTCGCTCCCCATGGGTTCTGTCACTTGTCTGCAAGCTAACTCTTTTCTGTTTTCTAAGTATGTATTTTTTACACATATCAATCTCTACTGATTGTAAACCTGGGAGTTTTCTCTTTGTGTGCATAATCTTCATCCCCTTTTCACTCATATGACCGAGTTTCTGGTGTCACAGCTTTGAAGTCTCATTGTCTGCTGTAACTGAGATCAAACAACGTGCACCTGTTGTCATATATAGGGTACCAGTCTTCCTGTCTCTAGCAATCGTCATTGCGCCTTTTGAAATCCTCCAATCATCACTATGGAAAGTCATAGTGTAGCCTTCACTAGCCAACTGGCTTACTGAGATTAAGTTTCTTTTCAGGTCGGGAATATACCTGACATCCTTCAGCTCCATACTGACCCATTCAGCTTAATCTTCACTACACATTTGTCAATAATGACACATGGTTGATCACCAAGATATACATTTCTAAGGTTTTCGGGGATATATTTCTCGAGGAATTCTTTCTGAGAAGTAGCATGAAATGATGCTCCATAGTCTAACACCCAAGACTCCTCCTTACTCTCCAAAGAGCATAGCAATGCATCATCTCCTCCTGAGGTGGAAGCAACATTTGCATCTGTCTTTGCCTCACTTCTTCTGTGCACTCTTGCACTGATTCTTATAGTGCTCGATTTTTTCGCACTTCCAACACTTGATAGCCTTCGAGCTGTTGGGATTCTTGAATTTGGATCTCATGTTCTCTAATCCATTTTCTCTGGTTGAATTTCTACCTCTTAACTCTGTATGTAATATTAAAGAGGTTGTAGCTTCACCCGACTATCTCTGTCGGATCTCCTTATTGAGAACCAGATCACGAACGTCGTCAAACTTCAACTTGTTGCTTCCCGACGAGCTACTCACAACTGTGACTGTAGCATTCCAATTCTCTGGTAGGGAAGATACAAGGATCAACGCTCGAATTTCCTCATCAAACTTAATATCAGCTGAACTCAATTGGGTCGTGACTGTATTGAGTTCATTGAGATGATGTGCTATCGATACACCTTCCGCCATTCGCAGATTGAACAACCGCCTAATCAAATGGACTTTATTTGAGGCTGATGGCTTTTCATACATATTTGAGAGTGCTGTCATAAGACTCACCGTGGTCTTCTCCTTTGCAATGTTAAAAATAACATTACGGGTTAACGTCAAACGAATAATCCCGAGGGCCTTTTTGTCTAGAAGATTCCAATCTTCTTCCTTCATACCCTCCGGCTTCTTCCCTGAGAGAGGTTGATACAGATTTTTCTGATATAGATAATCTTCTACTTGTATTTTTCAGAATCCGAAATCTGATGCATCAAACTTCTCTAATCTCACATTTCCTTCATCTGCGACTATCGCTCCCACTTGAATCTGACTTTCTCTAAATCGTTTCAGACTCTGATACCAGTTGTTGAGAATTTACGTCGAAACCCCTAAAACAGTAGAAATGCAGTATAGAGAAAATATACCAAGATTTAACGAGGTTCGACAACTGACTATGTTCTCGGGAGCCACACAGTAAATTTCTTATTAATCAACAAGAAATTACAAAACTTAGAGCAGATCTTAAACTGAGATCTCTCAATAAATACAATACTATAGCTACAGTGTTGATCCTTTCTCGCAAGCAAATAAATCCTTTTTAATTATATTTTCTTTTAATTCCTCTTCTTAAATTCCCCCCTCAAACTTCACTGATTGAGCGCTGGAGAAAAAGAGGGCAAGAAAAAAAACTTCGCCGCCACTGCTAGGGTTTAAGATCGCGAGAGGAGAGAGAGAGAGGGAAGAAGCACAGGGGGCTAGGGCTCTGGGTTCCCTCTTATAAGGGAACCCTAATGCCAGACTGGCAACAGGGCGCTGTCGCCAGCCACGCTTGCGCCCCCCACCTCCTCCATGTGGGTACCTCTAACCTCGCCTGCAGAGCTCTCGTCCACCTCAACCTCGCCTGAAGGAGCTCGACTCGAGATCGTCTGCAAAATGCCTGGACCTCGCCTGATCCGCCTCTCGCCTACCTCGAGCTCGCCTGATGTCAACCCCGAGCTCGCCTAATCCGAAGCTCCGACCTCGAGCTCGCCTGCATCGTCAGCCCTCGTCTGCGTCGAGTTCGCCTGCGCTCCACCAACTCGAGCTCGCCTGGACCACGTTTCGAGCTCGCCTGCTGCAACTTCGAGCTCGCCTAACCTCGTCGAGCTCGCCTACAGCTCTCGAGATCTTGAGCTCGCCGACTGGAGCTCACCCTCGCCTGAGCTTCATCCTCGCCTGGAGAAGCTCGCCTGCAGGTGAGTTTTGGCTACACACCCAGATCCAACGGTGATACCCTTGTCCTCAATGTCTCCTCACTAAATCAGTTGCATACATTCAAGTTCTCTTTCACCATTCCACATCATGTCTTTGGGATTATTCTCAAGTATAATGGATTAGTATTTTTGCCTGACTTGCTACAAGCCTACAAAAGAAAGCTAGTTAATTATCTTGCTTGAATTATTGTTTAGTTATGTTACACATGAATATGTAAGCAAAACTTGATTCTCTCAGCTGGTAACTGGTGTTAATCACATAATGGTTTATAATGGTTTGAATTCAGTAGTACGGTACAAAATTTAAATCAATTTAAAAGAAAGGAGAGTTCAGTTTACCTTTTGATACTTCTCTAGGAGAAGCCTCCACTATGCCTCCCAAATCAGCAAACCTTTTTAGTGTTGGTTTGTAAACCTGTAAAACAAAAAAGAACGAACATAGAACACCCAATACTGTGTGAAGAATGAAAAACATAAATGAATACTCCATCTTCAAAGTTGTCAACAATGTCAGAAGGGAGAAAAATAGCACAATTTTAGAAAAACTTACAAACTATGAAATAATTGGTAGTTAAAATAGAGAAAATGAGGTCTACTGAAGATAACAACATAACAAGATTCTTAACCACCAATGTATTAATATGTCTACAGACAATCAAATGAAGATGTAGAATGACCCAAAAGATTGTAATGATCCAAGAAATTATGATCAACTTCATAATATAAAAAAGAATTTATTGAAAATGAGGTCTTACATCATATGAGACAACAGTAAAGCCTGATCTTAGCAAGTGAGCTGCCATGCCAAAACCCATAGCTCCTAGACCTATGAAACCAATTTTCTTTACAACATTTGATGCCAAACTAAGTTGATATGCCAGATTCCCAGGATCATAGGGCTTCTGCTTGGCTGCCTCTCTGATATTTACTCCAAATGTTTCTTCCCAAACCTGAACCAGAAGAGATGGGGGAAGAACTTCTCTATTGGTTAATGACAGAAAACAATTGAAAGTGTAACAAATCTAAAATTTAAGCAGTATATATTAGAAATATTTTAAAAGAGATAAACCTTCAATGGTGCAGGAGAAGTGTCATTCCTACATTTTCGTGAAGCACCTACAAAGATGCCCATAAGAGAGGGTATTTATTATCTTGAGTTGGAGATCAGAAAGCAAAAGAAACTTTAAGTACTTCAAGTACTCAGCATAATACCATATATTAGTTGCTGGTATGCCATGGCTAGAAGTGGAAGAGGAAACGGGAGGGATTTGGCAACACCCAATACAAGGCCCTTAAAATCAACCAAAAAAAAAGGTAATACAAACCGTTAGTATGAAAGAGTTACGTTGCACCCCAAAGAAAAAAAATAATCATGTGCAAAATATTTAATAAGGGAAAAAAGGGAAATGAAAAAAATATCATTACATGAATATGTTAAAGCATACCACACTATTACTCGATTTATAGGACAATAATACAATTAGCAATATAAAAAGACTAAAGTAATGAGTCCATATTTACAGTGAAAGCATAGGATCCTTAAGCACTTTGAGTTAATAAAGAACTAAAATAGATGAAATGCTATAGATAAACCCTAGATTCAGCACAAATAATAAGAACTAAAATAGATGAAACGCTATAGATGAACCCTAGATTCAGTGCACATGATACATGCACCCATCTACATGGAACACAAACGGACCTACACCCAAGCACACACAGGCACAAAGACTATAAAACTTCACTAAGAACAGCATATTTCTAACGAAAGAATACTGTTAAGAATCTATCTAGAACATAACAATGTCTCAACCAGGTTGCTAAAGAACATATTATAACAAATACATATTAACATAAAATCTACTAGATTGCATTACATACAAATATGCTTACCGCATTTTGAACCAAAGCATCTACGCATTTTGTCAAAGTTTGATCCCCAGTCAATAACTTGGGGATGATATCCACAAAGGTCCTGAAAATATAAAAGCTCATATCATATTTCCATGCAAAGTGGTAGACTGAAATTTTAGGACAGAAAATGAACCAATTTGGAAGTATTTAGGAAATTGAAGAGAAATGGATTTGTTGGGTAGCTATGTATTTATGAGATAGAGATGTATGGTGACATAAAGAGGTGGTTACAGTTTTTCAATGCATGAGCTGCACAGCTCTTTTCAAATGTGGCATACATGATTCTGGTGGAAAGATTCAATGGATGCATAAAAAGACATGTTCAAGAAATGATTTACGTTATTTCAATATTCTGTGCATTACGAACAAGGTTAATGCTAGTTTTCTGAATGCATACAGTAATAATTTGGACATCCTATCTTGCTTTGAAATAAAAAAGATACCAAATAATACCTATAGACAAAAATAAAACTGTAGAAGAGTAAAAGCAGTGAACTCCATGCAATCACCTTGAACTTCCGGCAGCATTTGAAAGTATATCATAGAGAATCGTTGGGTGAATGCCAAATCTAACACCCAGGAACATTGCTTCAACAGAAGCAACAAAATGAATACCCTCCAGCAGATCATTGACCATTTTAATTTTGCTGAAAGTATAGAAGAAAAAAGACGATTAATATTATCAAAAGAGAAGATAATTGAAGACCTAGTAGGTAAAGAGCTATGTTGATAAAAGGCATTGTGCAAAAGAATCAGAAAGGATTTAAAGCTACATGAAACCTTTTACAAAAACATTTGTAGCAATGAAACTACGAGGACTTTGTATTACATAGAAAAAAGAATGCATACCTTCCGGCACCAATATCACCAACAAATATGTACACATTTTCGCTCATTGCTGTTGAAAGAATATATTAATCAGTTTGTCAAATGCAAAATTCTAAAAATTAACAAATAAAAAATGACCAGTGATTCTTTCTATAATGACCAATTTAGAATGATTGCTATGGACTGATCATACCAGAGAGAACAGGTTGGACCTTTTGCATGGATTCTTGCCTTCCAGATGCAATAACCTGCCCATGTGAGAGGAGTACTGCAGTAAGTAATTAAGTGACCTTTTTGTAGATATCAGATTATTGCATAAATATGAGAACATAAAATCTCTTGACTCACAATAATCTCTTCTTTTGAATCCTGAGAAAATCCCTCAAAGACGTGTGCATCAACTATGGAAGCAACTCCAATCTTTTCTGCAAGATGAGGGGAGTTGTTAGTTATAGAGATGGTTTATACGTGATAAAAAGTAACTTTATTCTATACTTGATGATTCTTTTACACTGGCACACCAGTCGGCAACCTCGTTAACAGCCAAAGATTACTAGAATAGAAATATAACCAAAATTCTTTTCCTTTACAAATCACCAAACTTTCTTTTACTACCATCCACCAAAATGGCATCAATATTCTATCAATAAATAGATGGCCCCCCAAACAAATAGCATTGTACTGACACCTTTTTACATGTCTAATCATAATTCAAGATGTACAGCCACATTTGACTATAGGTTTTTGTTCAAGCATAATATTTTTTAACCAAGATTGTGAACAAAATGTCAGACAGAGATTTAAGTTTTGGAACTATTATGACCTTATCAGGTCACCCAGGGGCGGATGCATGTTATAGGTTAGGGAGGCAATTGCACCCCTAATCATTTGGAAATTGCATTTTGGTTCCCTCTCAACTTGCAATTTGCCCCTCCTAGTTTTAAAATATTTGAATTCCAACTCTTAAACAATTAGCAACTCACTTGAATATAGCCTATTTTAGTAAATTACTAGTAAAAACTCGATTTTGTTTAATTACATGCAAAATATGATGCGTTAAGCTAATAAAGCGTACTGAATAGCATTTCTATTAAGTGTTATATACTTATATATATTATTATAGTTTCATTTTCATATAAATAGATGCTCGTCGTCCGCCCCTCCAAGAAAAATTTTCTCGATCTGCCACTGAGGTCACCTATATCTGGTGGGAAAGGTACATGGATGAAAGGAGAAATAAGTGCACAGTGGCTAGTCCATAGAGCATGAATAAGCTTTACATGCAAAAGGAGAAGGAAGGAAGAGAAAGAAAAGAGTATCCAACATTTGCGAAGTTGAACAGGGTTTTAGCATCTGGATGAATACAGAAGCTTCCTTTTCCTCGTATTCGGCTGCACTGAGAGCTGGTAATATGCATGATATTCCAACGTACAAAATTGTGATGATGATGATGCAGACATATATCAATCATACATAATTAAATCATTTACTAGCTAATCACATAAACTGGCAATTTGCACTTCCGAATGCAGACAAATCTTTATAAATGTACACATCATCCTACTGGGGTATTTGGATAGGGAGCTCACCTTTCTTTTCTTCCTAAAATCGGCACCCAACTTCGAACTATAAGGATCCAAATACAAGGGGAAGAAATAAAAGCAGTGAAACAACTTTGTGCCTTTCTTTATCTATTATAACTTATTGCCATACATTATACAGATACAAAGACTAGGAAAAACAGGAGAAAGTCATGCAGGATCAATGAGGTGACAAAAAATGAGAATAAAGAGAAAAATTTTCCTCCGCCCATTAAATTAAATTCCCAAGAAAAAGCCAATTGGATATCCATGTATCTGTTCTCTATGGTATGCCACATTCACAGAAACAATGCCCTTTTTTGGAAACAGAAGATGAGCATGCAAATATGCTAAGTCTGAGACTGCAAATGGTTCGCGTCTAAGGCAGGAAATTAAACAATACCGACAAAAGAAACTTTTCTTGTGATGCTGCAACCAATTACATCAACAATAACAAAACATGTAATTTATATACCTCTCAAAAGTTTATCTAGCTTAATAACGAGCCCGAGCGACAATGCTGATTGAAGGACCAGGACTGCATCCTTATGCAACCCTGAAAGGAAGAAATGCAAGCATTAAAAAAGGATTATTATATCGGTTAAAGAAAAAACAAATACCTTCAGCTAAACTCTCCTTTGAAAACAAATTGTCAGTATTTTCCTCTTCAGAAACCACCAGAATGACAGTTGCAGCATCTGAAAAAGAAATAATATCAAACAAGAATATATCATTTAGTCAAAGACTGGTTATCAATGTTACAGTGGTTGGCATCTGTAATGAATAAGATAAAATATTTTTGAGCACCTCAATTGATTATAAATAAAAGGTCTAAGCATCAACCAACTTATCAATAAATTTCCCTTAAAGGACTAACTATGACATTAAAGTCTGTTGTTTGAGCATCTATTCTGAAACAATGTACAGTCCTTTCATCTGAGACTCGCAAAACATTGTATTTGAAATTATGACATTACATAATAATAATATTATTATTACTTTGACTGTTACTGTTATATAGGTCTTGCTGTTGCAAATGTTATTGGACCAAGATATAAGCTATAATAACAAGAAGTACTCATCCACAATGTTAAAAGGAAAAACATATATATAGAGGCCCAACTAGCTTTTTAACTTTTGAGAAAGATCTGTAAGGTTACATCATAGAAACTTCCATGAAGAGAGAAACAAGCTCCAAACTGGGAAAGGATACTGCCGCAGAGGGAGAAAGAACCCTAAAATGGAAGAATGACAAGCCTCCATGCAGATCAGGAGTAAATAACATGTGTCCTGAACTTGAATGCATAATCAATCTGCAATCACTGCATATAAGGATAACCTCCCATAAGGGAACAAAGTGGTGATACGCTTGAGCTAAGATGACTCGGTAAGTTAAGAGGCTGGTGGCAATATTTCTTCCCCTCTAATTCTCTTTTTAACCTGTGGATACTTCTAGAGAAGGAAACTTGCAGAATTTCTTCAAAGGTGGCAGGAAGAGGTTATGATTATTGCTTTTGATGTAATCTAGAAACAGATTTTGAATCAGAGTTAAAACCATAGATTTCGCACATGAACAAAATATATAGACCAACATAACATATTTATCAACCTTGCAGAAAATGAAGTTGTAACCACAGTCCAGAAGCCTAGATTTTCCACATGTTAAATACATGGAACATGTCACGCTTCTCATCACTGATGATGTGCATGTGCACGTGTCCGTGCATGCACGCGCGTGCATGTGTGCACGTGTGTTGATATATGTCACATGCGCACTTGCACACACGGGCACGCATGGTCACACACAAGTCATCATTGCGGGTCAAAACATGGAAGGCGCCACCAACCCCTGAACTTTGGTCTCTAATCGTTCATTGCAGAATGCTCCATCACTGGCCATCGGGTGATGTCCTTCCATTGACAGAGATATACCGTGATGAAGTTTTGATGATGCGCCTATGTTCTCTTGCGTGACAATGCTTATGACTAAACATCATGTTTTAGTGAAAGTACTAGAAGTAGACATCCACGTCGACTTTTGACTAAGAAAGATTCAGTCAGAGGTCTGCCTCCTGATTTGTATACGTTCCACAACTAACAAGATCACAACCAATTGTCATCATGTTAAAGACGAGCTTATCCAAATAATCCATGTTAGTTTTTCTTAATCAAATTTTGGAATATGATGTATCTAATTAACACTAAAAATCATCCAAACAAAAGGATGACAACATAATTTCAAGAATTTCACCTTTTACTGCCTCCAGTGGACTCGAACATCTAATCCCACCCAGCTCCACAAACCTTCGCATCACTGAAGACTCCACCACCTATCCTCAGCAAGCAAAGCATTTCATCATAAAGAAAAGAAAATACCAGATCAAAGATTCCATTTTTACTTAAACTGGAGCAAAGCAACCGATTACCTCGAATGCTTGAACCCCGAACCCCGATTTGATGAGGGAGGAAGCGAGCTTCAAGCTCAGATCATCGAGGCCGATGAATCCGACGACGTTTCGAGACGCCATCGGATGAATTTTGATCGATACTGAGGAGAAAAAAAGGAGGGAGCTTTGCTTGCTGATTCCGGGATAAGAGAAAGGGGGACGTTATATATCAGGAGAGCGCAGGTGATGCTGAAAATGAAAATGGGATTTGTTTGCCGGGGGAGCTGACGTGGATCAGCAGTGGTTGGGCCTAAATCCAATTTTTTAGAAAAGGTTCGGTAAATCATTATTAATGTCCCCCTTTATTTTTTTATAAAAAAAATTAGAGTTTTTTATTGGGTTAATTTCACAAAACACCCCTCAAGTTTGGGGTGTCTTGAACTTCACTCCCCTAAACTTTCCTTCCCACCAAACAGCCTCGATAGTATCTCCTAAGGGTCCGCAAAACGCAGCTCTCAGACCCCGTTAATGTTGAAATAAAGACAAATATAAATATCCCTTGAGATTAAACCTTAGGGGGGTTATTGGTTGAGGATTGTTGATTTGGACTTGGATTTTTTATTGGATTTCAATTGACTTTGAGAAGGGTTTTTGGTATTGTAGAACACCCCAACGGGGTGGTTTGTGTTGGGTGTGGATCCCAACGGTTCAGAGAGGGGGAGTTTGCAAGGCTTAAGTGCAAAGACCAAAGTTCAAGGGGTTTTATGAAAATCAACCAAACTTGCAATTACACTCCAAATTAGATATTTACTAATGTACCCCAATTGTACCATACTGAGTGAACCCTCCCCTGGTTAAGGAATATTTCTGAAGATATTTCTACTTTTTTTTTCTCAGTTGTTAAGCTCGAATTTCCTCCATCCACCGTTCAATAACTAAAGATGTTATGTTTAGAGAAATTTACTGGATAGACCTGTTGGGCAAATTACCCAATATCTAAATTTGGATGGTAGTTTTGCAGATATGACTGATATGATTTGAGGGGTATATAGATAGAAAGGACTTAAAAGAAATAAACTTGCATGTTTTGAGTCGCATACAGCATACTCTAGGACATAAATACAATTTCTTGTAAAAAATACAAGCTACTAATTAATAGGAAAAAAAATTCTTTCAAACCCCTATAGCTTTCGCATAAATTGAGAAAAAAATTCCAGCTAGATTGTTTTATAATTTTCATGATAAATTTTCACCACTATGAAATTTTAACGTAAAATGTGCTAATAGTCTCCTTTTATGGCTAAATCCTTAGCGTACACCTCTAACCTTTTCAAGATAAAGGGTTATTATAAAGATGAAGTTATGTAGAGAACTTTATGTTCTTGATTGGTGCAATGTAGATTGATATTGACAATTGACTTCTCAGGCCTCCGTGTGTGCGGGCGCGCGCTTGAAGACCTAAACTCTTTGCTGCCCAAGTAACTCGAATCAACATCAATTCTAAAGTGAGCGGGATCCTCAATCAATTAATACTTTAACTGATCACATGCTTATCTTCAAGCCAATGAAGTCCATGTCCTAGTACAAATAGGACTCTTCTAGACCAATTAGTCACTTGCTCGGTCAAGCATGATCGGGTGAAACCACCGGGTTCGAGTCCATGCATTTGAGGCACCCGTAATAGATGCCTGTACTTGTGGGGACCTTGTCCTGAATCTCCCTACCAAGAGAATCAAACGCAATAAACGGGAAGCATGCATCTAAAATTACTGGCAAATGCTTGTGAAATACTCCTTGATAGCAAACAAATTGTCGTTGCCCTCGAGGTTCCCGTGGCTAGACTGCATGTTTTTCGCTTTTCTTGTTAAATCAACATGAACTTTCGAATTCCAGAAATGTATCCAGTATCCTAATTTTTCTTAAGAACATCAGCCCAAAAAAAATTTAGCTAATAGGCTTATAAAACAAATATCAAGAATCACGCAATATCAAAAGTCTAAACTGTGAGCTATCGTAACTTCAAGCGTGAAAATTCCTAGTTTACAAAGTTTCCATGAGAACGGAGAAAGAGTAACGTAATGCGTAGAAATTTTTTTTTTCCAATTAGAAAGGTCATGATAGTTTACCTATCCTTCAAGATTTATAATAGATTAATAGAAAATAAAAAGTGCATTGCAAGTTTTTAGTAGTTTTTAACTTCTAAAAATGTCGTTTAGATGCTTGCTTACAGCTGGACATTGGATTCGGATTGGTCCCTATCGTCGGTCCGGGCCCCAGTCGCCCGTGCTCAGGAGTACTTTATCACGACGTCCAAGTTGGAGCTTCGTCCGCAAAGTATTACTAAATGAATTGGAGACAGATAAAGATGCTTGAGAGATTGGTTAGCAGTCTTCACATGGAGAGCCACCGTTTGAAAATAGAACCATTGTTAATTGAGCCTGGTAATCAAATTTGAATTTAGTCGGAAAATATTAAACTTGGTAATGATACAGGGTTATTATTTTATATTCTAAAATATTTTTGCGCTAGTAGCTAGACGGAACACTCTTTTTATGCATCGAAATGTGGACTCAACTCAGCTGTATCAATTTCTTTCTAAAATGTTATTACATTAGAAAGATTTAGGATTTGATTGTAGATTGCTCGAGTACCATGTTAACGAACATGCCACCACACTAAATTTTAGAATTGTAATGAGTGTTGAGAGTTATAATTTCATATTCTAACAAAAAGAATAGTATGGATTTAACACTCACCGCTACAAGTACAACAAATTCGGCAGAGCAGTGTACGTGATCTTTAGTTTTGATTCAACCACCGGGAGATAAACTGAGATGGTGTTAAAATTATCACCATAGCAATATATAAAAACAACTCTTCTATTTGGCTCGCGGTCCAACCGCGAGCCTCAGCTCGCGTGAGAGAAACAGGGGGGGTGGGCCCCCCAACAGTGGGGGGGCCCACCCCCCTGTTCCAGGCTTTTTTGATATAAAAATATCAATTCTGTACGTAAATGCTATGCACAAATAAACCCTACTCGGTCCCCCTCTCACTCCACCCTTTTCTTTCACACATTTCCTGAGTGGCACTTCGATTCTGCATATTGCTTGTTTTATGTACATTGTTTGTTGTCGATTGTTGATTATTGACGCCAGAACAAGGATTCGGATCCTCTCCACTAGAAAAAAAACAATGGAGGGACCACTACATCATCACGGCCATTGATTATCTAGTTAATGGTTGTGATTTTATCTTCTAGTGCAAATTAGGAATGAGTGCAATACACGGGGGTATGATAAGTGTTAGATTTAGATTGTATCATAACCTACACGGGGGTATGATAAGTGTTAGATTTAGATTGTATCATAACCGCCTACTAAATAATCAACGATTGATATTAAAAGCAGTGGTATTGTATCATAACCGCCTACTAAATAATCAACGATTGATATTAAAAGCAGTGGTCTCTCCACTATTTTTGTAGTGGAGATGATCCAAATCCCCAGAACAAACGTAGAATAGGAGAGTGAGAAAAATTTCCAAATTTGTAAAATAGAGAAGTATGGCTGGCAGCTATAAAATCAAATTTTAAATAGTTGAAAAAATGAGTTGCAAGACTTAAAGCCTGACAACAAACTAACTTCTAATCGACTCCCAATCATCTCAATCGGACATCCGAGTTAAAAGTAATGACTGTTTGAAGTTTAGACGTGCAAACGGGCTTCTCTCATTTTGATTAATTTGCATCGTCATAGACTGCATCAATTACTTCATGAGAAATGAGTTATCATGCCACAATTTAGCTCTTCATCCAAATCAAACGGCGGGCCCCGACTCATGCGCGCTGTCATTCTTGAATAGTTCTCTGCAGCTTCTAAGATAAGGGGTTGTTTGTTTCTTCGTTTTTGGGTGGGAAAGAGCCCGAAACCTGCCACAGATGGGACTGCTGTGGCAGCTTTCGAGCTCCTCAGTCTCCAAACCAAACGGACTCTAAGCATGATTGTCTAAAATGATAGTTGACCAACAATGTCCATACAGGATAATCGGTACACTTAGCTGATGACATGATGAAAACTTAATATCATTTTATTTCACTAGCTATATAAAAAAAAGGCCGAACACCTCTACCAAGTTCCGCAAAAATTTGCAGAACATCATCTATTGCCAATAGAGACACATGTTCACACTAAAACTGTTGTTTTAGTTGTCTCATTGCATTTTTGTTTTGGATTAATTCTATACAACCATTAGTGTTATACCCGCGCACTATGCTGCTGGAATTTTTTTTGGAAAATTTGCAAAATAGTCCGTTTTTGCTAATTATTTAGCAAAATAGATCGTTTTGCTAAATAATTAGCAAAATAGACCTCTTTTTGGCCAACAGGCAAAAAAGATGTCTGTTTTGCAAAACAGCTCAGAAAACATATGGGACTAGTAGTCCCGTATGTTTTAATCACAGATTAGTGAACTCAGAAAATTTCACAAAACATTAAGATGAACTCAGAAAACATACGAGACTACTAGTCCTGTATGTTTTCTGAGTCTTGTTTTTCAAAATCGACATTTTTTCTTCAAAAGAGGTCTATTTTGCTAATTATTTAGCAAAATGGTCTATTTTGCTAAATAATTAGCAAAAACGGACTATTTTGCAAATTTCCCCAATTTTTTTTCTAATATACCACCAAGTTTACGCAAAATTTGCAGAACATCACGTGATGCCAATAGAGACATGTGTTCACATTGAAATTGTTGTTTCAGTTGTCTCACTGCATTTTTGTTTTGGGTTAATTTTATACACCATTGGTGTTATACCCGCACTATGCTGCGGGATCTTTTTCTAGTATATAATTTATTTAAAAAAGAATAAAAAAAGAAACCGTACATGAAAATCATAACCATACAATTATCCAGGAACCCAAAAATATGCATAAAAATAAATAAAAAAATTTAAAGGAGAAGGTAAGAAAACTATAAATAGTTCTTGAAATATTAATGGGATAATATTATAAAAAAATGCATCTTTATCAAATAACTCCTCCAAATTCTGTTCATCTCACATAACCTCTTGAATTGTTGGATGTCTCGCGAAGCCTCTCTAAATTTAAACTCTTCCCACTAGACCTCTTACATGTAATTTACAAATAATTAAAATATCATTTGAGGGGGGTGGAATAGAAGTGCATTCATTTTTTGGAAATAAATATAAAGATAGTTTTTTTACTAAAACTTCCCATGGGTCCCAAGCAGACCGAATTATCTATTTAT